TTACCATCTGTGTGATAAGCTTTCTGGTATGTGCATTCTGAGCCTGCTATCAGCACTGATAAAAATTAGCTGTACCAGTACTTTAAAGCAGAATATTTTAAGTAATTTGGGGGCTAGCCAATGGCTTCATTCATATGATAAATACCATTATACTCTATTTCTAGATGATTCAAAGTTGGCTCTAAGCAAGGGAGATTAGGTTTAGTGCTCGTGGAAGAACAAGAAATGAAACAGAGCTGTCCCAATTGATAGTTCAGCTTTCAGTATAATTTTACTGAAGAAAGTAACTCAAGGTTTATTCTGGTCATGTCAAGGGCTGCTTTGTAGTATTTCTGCCATAAGCCCAGGTCTGTCCATTAAGAGACAAAACCTGCTAGTGAAGCCAGGGCTGGCTTGGACTGCACAAATGCTGCAGCATCACAGTTGGGTAGAGGGGAATAGGAGGAGGATCAGTCGAGCTCTGTGTGAGGTCTGTTGACACTCAAAGAGGCTGCAGACAGATTTAAAGGTGGCAGGAGAAGTAATGCAATTGTGAGGATCTGAGACAGGCTCCGTAGCTTTGGGAGCTGGAAAAAAAAAGTCCAATGAAACCGCCGGACTTGGAGCAGCCCTCTTCCACAGCCGCTTAGGCCAGGAGTAAAATTTGCTTGTAAAGATAAGCTGGAAGCAACAGCCTCCCAGAAGCCAATGGAGTGCGTGAGCATGTGCAATTGCCTCTCCGCTCTGCGATTTCGATTACATCGCACGCTTCGGTGCCCAGTGGTATCATCCTGCCATCTGCAAAGGGGCCAAGGTAAAGTTCAGAGTCGACAAACACTTCAATTTCTCTTCCATCCTACGATGAGATCCTGCTTTTACAGAGGCCTTCCAGGAGATGGGGAGAAGCCCTGCTCAGAGGTGTCTGTCTTCTCTCAAAAAGAATTTCTGTCAGGGGAACATAGAGGACTAAGGGGCTCGCTGGGTTTACCTTACATGTGCATGTGTGGGGAGATTTTATGCTCTCCCTGTTTTGTTTTGTTTTGTTTTTTTAAAAAGAGCTTCCCAGGCAATGCCATTTTCTCTGGCATCAGGCAGATACTAGAAACTTGCTTTACTTGATGTGAGATGGATGCCGAGATCTTTTACTCAAAGGGACTTTGATGCACTGAGACCTTTCATGCTGAGAGGACAAAGCCTCTGGATTCACTTGAGTGAAACGCTGGCCCAAATTGCCTCCCTGTTTCTAGCCACACATTTGATTTTTCTATTCTGGATCAGGTATCAAGCCCAATATCATGCTGAAAAAGGCATACACTTAAGATCAGAGTGTTGACGTTTAACAGGATCGGTTATGTCTGTATGGATCTGTTTTCAAAGGTGGTTGGATTTCACTTGAAAAGGGACTTTTCTAGTGATTAAACATGGTAATGTTAGGGGCTGGCAAAAGGTATCTTCGCTCTTTTGATAAAGAAAAATGAATTCAGAACAAGAATCAATGCACTTCAAGGCTTTGCCACTTTTTTTTTTTTTTTTTTTACAGAATGAGCAGAAAAAAACTAAGGGTTTTGCATTTTAAATTCTTGTTTGAATATGAAAACTAGTGAGCTGAAAACCCACCAGACAGAATTCCTCTCCTTAGACAAACAATCCCAGTGTGCTAGGCAATGTACAAATACAGAAGCAAGTAATCACAACCAGCCAACTCTTCCCTGAGCAGCACCAGGTACTTGGGTACTACTTAAATAACAAATTTAGTAATACAGCAGCAGCTTAATTCCTATGGCCTTAATCACCATCTTAGGATAATGTTTGTGCGGGGACTAAACAAGTCTACTCTCGGGTGCTTAATCATTTTCTCAAGGTGCACAGCACCAGTGGGGTTCCAGTACTGCACAAAAAGTGCCTGGTAGCACAAATTGTTTCCAAATTAAAACCAGTTGTCTCCCTAAATCCTAATTCAGAAAGTCTCCTGCCATTATCTCTTCTGATTGAACACGATTGCCCTCCTGGAGGATCTACTTTCAGTTCTCTGGTGGAGAGCTGAACTCCCTGCTCTTCATCATTAACAGCCCTTTGCTGACTGACAAGCTCAGAGCAGTGCAATTTCCCTCCTCAATTCTGATACTGGTTTCACACGCCAGAAAAATTGCTTCAGTCAGTGAACTGCAGGATCGTGTCCCTTAGATTAATTCCCCTTTCCCTCTTGGAAAAGGGCATGTGGAGAAATCCTGGCAACTTTCTGTCACGCTGCCATTTGTGGAGTGCAGGTGCTGGGCTCACACACACAAACTGCGTCAAGTCTTCTGCCCTCCAAACCTTTCCGAACATGCCTTTTGCCTTCCACCCTCCCATACGGCCCCATTTCTCAACCGCTCGAGAAACCTTAGGGAGAAGTACTTATCAGCAAGGCTGTCCTACATGGGAAGAGTACTGGGGGCTCCAACAGCTGCTCAGGGTTTGAGTCCCCTTGGCAGATGTTTGCTATTCCAGCCACTTCATTAATTTTGGAAACAAAACCCCTGATTATTCCTGACCAAAGCACCCCTTTTTGATTGACAGCCAGTGTGTGTTTCATACAACATAACTCACCGTATTGCTCCAGCCACTTCTTTTTTTTTTTTTTTTTTTTTTTTTAATTCATTAATAAAAGAAATAAAAGTTTCTAGCGACATGTCAGGGTATGCTAATCCCACTTGCCTGTTCATCTCCCTGGGCTCCGGTGGAGCTGGGGCAGAGGTGCCAGCCCCACATCCCTGGATATCCAGCCCCTCAGACGTAAGAAAGAAATGTTTAAAGACAAGCGGAGACTCTTGTCTTGCGGTCAGTTGTGCGCGAGTTAGGCGAGACGATGGTTTTCTTTCCCTCTTTGATTTCTGGGCTGGATCTACTCAGGCTCATGGAAGACTCTTTGATTTCCAGTGCTTGTATTGTACTCTCAATTTAGGAAACATGCCTCTGCTGCATCTTGTCAGGTTTTGCGAAGCCAGTAAAAGGAAAATTAATCTGGAGTGGGGGTAGGAGGGCTGTAGCTACTGCTCAGGCACCAAGGAAACACTGTGGAGCAAAATGCCGTTTGCTGCTGCTGCTTCAGGGTTTAAATCAGTAGCTTGCTCAGGACACTGCTTCCGAAATATTTTTTGCAATAATTACCAGCAAGCAGTAATTGCTTAAGTTAATGTTATTGGTAATTATTTTGTTTCCTCAAAAAAACATCTGAAAAAGAGGCAAAGAAAGTGTGCTCCGAAAATGTTTTAGGTCTGAATTAGGAAGTGAGTATTCATAAAGCTACATTCATAATGAAGTCAGCAAATCTTCAATATCTGTAGTTTGTTTAGGAATTAAAGCAACAGTTTACGTAATTTAAAGGGAGTTATATCATCAGGGGAAAAAGACCTTGAACTCCTTAGTTGTAGTTATCATTCTAGTTAAATTCCTGTTTGTAAGATCGCCTTAGTTTCACACAAGAAATTAAACCATTTCCAGCCAATTTATTTTAAATGAGAATGCCCTTCTGATGGTTCAATGAGCAAAACGCTTTATCTTTGGTTTAATATCATTTACTGTGCTGTGTTTTTTAAAACCATGTAACGAGTTTTTAAGAAAAAAGTTCAAAGGATCTATCAAAAGTATTGTATTTCCTTGTGTCTGCCTTCCAGTTTTGACAGTGTGTGGGCAATGCGAGTGACTTTTTCTGGTTTTAGGGCTGTCTAAATGGGCAAATGTATCTCTGAAGTTAAAACTAAATGATACTTGTAATTGAAAAAGAAACAGTGTTTTTATGAAAGACATTAAAGATAACTCATAGATTTTTGAGGGCTTTTAAAAATATAGATCAACAAAATAAAAGGTGCTCAAATCATTTATAAGAGTTTGAGATGGGTGTTGCCTTCTGCAAAAACAGATTGAGTTTTCTAATAGTAAAATAAGAGTTTACTGCCATTTGGATCACCAAAGCATGAAAACTAAAGGGTGGCTGATAATTTATAGATTGTACTTAAATCTCTGTATGAAGCCTGCAAGTAATTTTTTTTTTTTTTTTATGGGGGGGGGGTGGGGTGGTGGCACATCTCCACAATGAGCTTCTCTTTCCCCATTAAAAGTTTGTGGCCACGACTAGTTGCAAGCTGGCTGTGGTTTCTGGAAAACCACGCAGCAACCAGTTAATCGGGAAGACGCCCCCTGATCCACCTTCCCCTGCAAAAGGTGTCCCGGTGATTCCTGTGCTAAACCACAGTGACTCCAAACGGGGTGCAGTGTAATTTCTCAGCGGGGTTAAAGCCCCATTTGGGAGCAATCCTCCCTGCAAATCTGGGGAACGGCCGCAGAGCTGAGAAAGAAAACTCAGGGCTCAGCCTGCAAGGAAAACCAGCTTTGGCGAAGGGGGGAAACCTCAGCACCCCACACGCTGCCGGTGGGCTGCATGGGGTCTGCCAAAGGGGCTCAAAGCTCATCTTTGCAAAAATCCAGCTGAGATAAGCAGCGATCCACCCCTAAATCAGCCCGGGGACTGAGGAACGCCGCTCTGGAGAAGGCAGCGTTTGCTTCAGCGAGGCACCTATAAATAGTATTTTTTTTTCCTCCTGCTGTTCTCCAGCCCTTCATGACTGGGGAATAGGTTTGATGCCGCTCGGAGAAAGCTGTAAGGGGTTCAGGGAGAAAGCTGTAAGGGGTTCAGGGAGAAAGCTGTAAGGGTTCAGGGAGAAAGCTGTAAGGGGTTCAGGGAGAAAGCTGTAGGGGGTTCAGGGAGAAAGCTGTAGGGGGTTCAGGGAGAAAGCTGTAAGGGGTTCAGGGAGAAAGCTGTAAGGGTTCAGGGAGAAAGCTGTAAGGGGTTCAGGGAGAAAGCTGTAGGGGGTTCAGGGAGAAAGCTGTAAGGGGTTCAGGGAGAGGCGCTCTCCCACTGGCAGCCAGCATTTGCGGGATGTGCACTTTTAATTTTTTAAATTACAGGCTAGAGGAAAGGGGGGGGGGGGGGGGAGGGAGAGAGATAGAAAAAAGGAGGAGGAGGAGAAAAAAAAAAAAAGCCAGCCCCAATCTGGAACCTCTCCAGTTTTTGCACCAAAAAAAGAAAAAAAAAGAAAAAGAAACACACACACACCCCGGTATCTTAAAATAGAGAGCAGGGAGGGGAGAGGAGCGGCGGGATCCTCCCAGCGCGGCGCAGGGTAACAATGGTGCTCGGCGGGGAGCAGCGGGCGCCCTGATTGACAGCCCGGGCGTCCTAAAAAAGGCCGGGGAGAGATGCTTATCGCAGGGTTTATATAGCGGGGGAGCCCGGCGCCGCGGAGCGGGGAGGCGGCGGCAGCAGCAGCAGCCGGGGCAGCGCTCGGAGCCCATGCGCGGCCGGCCGCGGCCCGCGCAGCCCCGCGCAGCGCCGCGCAGCCCCGCGCAGGGCGGCCATGCAGTGCCCGCCGCGGCTCGGCGCGCCCAAGGCAGGCAGGCGGCGCTACAAGACCTTTATGATCGACGAGATCCTTTCCAAGGAGACCTGCGATTACTTCGAGAAACTTTCCCTCTACTCCGGCTGCCCGTCCCTCCTGGTCCGGCCCAAGCCGCTCCACTCCTGCGCCGGTAAGCCTGGGCTCTCCCGCGGGCGCGGAGCAGCCGCGGCTCCGGCTGCGCAGCCGGGGCGCGCAGGCAACCGTCGGCAAGCCAAAGCTCTTCTCCCCGCGGTGAGAGCTTCCCCCGAAGCGAAGGCGACTCCCCCAAAGCCTGCCCTGAACCCCGGTTTTCACGCCCGATCCCCAGGGTTTGCCTTCGCTCCCCCCCCGCCCTCCCTTTTTCCGGGGGAGGAGGGAGACGTTCGTTAAATCTCCACGGGTGCTTTGCTAAGCCGTGGCGGGGTTCAGCCTCGATCTTCCGCGGGGTGTTCACAAATAAATAAGCGGTGCAGCTGGTAAGGACTTAAGAGGAGCGCGGGTCCTTTAGAAAGCAGCCTTGAGCTTGTGCTCCTTGAAACCACCGGTGGTTTTTTCATTGCCATCTGTGAGACTGCAAAGGAAATAACAGAAAATTTGAAACCTGCCGTTGAGACACAGTATTTTCTACCCTAAATTCTTTCTTCCATTAAAAGGAGTTAGGCTGTTTATAACAGAGAAGATGTGAAAATACTTATAATGCGTTTGCAGATGTAGACACCGTAAATAAATACACGCAAATGGATCTCTGCTCTGGACAGATACCACTGATTTTAATGCAAAAAAAAAAAAAAAAAAAACCCAACAGGAGCAATTTGGTCTTGACCATGGCGTTGTTAAATTTCACAAACAGATTGGTGTTATGTGAGCTTTTAAAAATCCATGTTAAAAGTAAAAATATCATTCTTATAATGCATCCCAGATTTTAAAAATGAAAAAAATTCTTTTTTTCTGGTGAAGTAGGCAGTTTTCCAGATTTATATTCTCCCCATAAGGCCACGCTTCCAATGGTGACACCTAATGTCTTAAGAGAATTAGATGATGAAACTGAAACTTAAAAACACATTCTTCAAAAAAAACTATTGAAAAGTATTTGTAAAGAACTAATTCCCAGAAAAATAATATCGATTTCAAGGTAATAAAATTCTATTTTTCCTCCTACTCTATCCTGGGAAAGTTAATTTTGTGTTTGTATTAAGTTGTGTTTAAAAATCCAAGACCTGCACTTTGGCTTAGGTTTGTTGTTTTGGTGTTTTATTGCTTAGCTGAATATGAATAATAAGGAACTTTTCAGGTCTTAGTGGAGTTGTGCTAATAGAAAACTTGCTGTTCTGTTACCTAAGAGTTTGACGGGTAAAGCAAACCCTTGGTCCAAGCATAAATCTTCCTCCAACCTCAATATTTATTTTGTAAATACTAACAATTAAAGATCCAGGAGCAATTAGGAGGCTGGATCAAAATTATGGCCCATGATGACCAGCTTTTGGGAAGAAATTACATGAATAGTGTTATCCTCATTTATTTCTTCCGCTCGATTCATGCGTGACGTTCCTTGCCTTCTCTAACTAATCGCTGATATATTTTTATACAAGAAGATCTGGTTGTTAATCAAGATATTGCTGACAAGGGCATTTTTCGGAGCCGATTCTTCACTGCGGCACAGACAGTGAAATTCAGAGCTTGGCCAGAATAGGCATGAACGTCCCAAATGGTTTCAGTGTGTGGCAGCTCGCAGTTATGCAGAGAGGGCCCGATTCTGCTCACATCGGAGCCAGCGGCCTGACTTCCACCAACCTCGGTCTGCCAGGGAGAGGGAAGAGCTTTTTCTCTCTTTCTGTACAGAAGGAGGAAGCATTAGGCAAGAAAACTCCTTTTAGCTCCCAAAAGGAATATTAACCTGAATATTTAGCAACATCGAGAAGCATGTACGACTAACTCGGCATCAAAAAAATATACTTTGAATGCCCTTTAGGCTAAGGGATCCTGAGTATTTTTGATGGGTGGGGTGCTTCCCGGCAGCTGTTTTGACTTTCACCACCTCCATGGGAAAAAAAGAGAGAAATGTTCTTAATATGTAGTTTCTGTGTCAAGCGTGGCAAACATGGTCTTTGCAAGACTAATATATATTCATTAAATAATCATTAATAATCCTCAAATGATTCAGCAGTGGATTCTGAGCGATGCTAGCAAGACTCTTGTGGTTACTGTTCAATTAAAGCCTTATTTCTCTTTGTCCCTCGGATCTTTAATGAATTTGCCTTCAAGGTTGTGTTTCTAGTCCAAGCTCTGGCCTGTCCCTGTGTCAGGGTGGGTTGTGAATATCTGCTTCTAATGGAATAAGCTTTATGGAGTCGCAGTGCTTGAAGGGAACTACAGAGAAAGATTCGCTTGTGGGATTAAAACCATAAAAGAAACTGCTACAAAAGACCACATTTCCAGATTGTAAAACTTCTGAGGTTTATAGGTACAGTTAAAGTCCTATATGTATTAGATAATGGGATTTTTTTTTCCTTTGTAAAGGAGAGGAAATACTGAAGAGAAATGGACAAATACCACAAAAGTGAACTAAATGTAAAAATTTGAAAAATACCCAATACAAATCTGTTTAAAAAAAAGAAAAACAATACAAAAATCAAACAAAAGAAAACCTCAAACCACGTAGGGACTAAAGACTGCAGAAATACAGCACTATGGAATTTAATTTACTGCCTGTGCTTCCTTTGTTTCTTGAGTTAATCAGGGAGGGATCACTTAGCCTCTTTGCGGTCTAAAAAAATGAGTCTTAACCTAAACCACAGAAATTTAGCTTGCCAGTAGAGTCATAGCTGGGACTTGGGAGTATTTGAAACAGTAATGAGTAATTAGTTACTTCAGCTGAACTTCTCTTCAGCAGCATGGCTTTTTCTCGTGTCAGGAGTCAGGTTTTGTAGGCATTTTCATGGACTACAGAGTTAATAGTTCTTTCATCTTGGGTGAAGTCAGAGAAGTCTGATATGCCTTTATAATTTATTTGGAGCTGAAAGAAGTAAGATGTTCTAGTTGTGCAGCATATGTGTTTAACAACATCCTTTGCTAAGTGAAGAGAGCTGAAAAACATTGGTAACCAAATGGAAAATCTTTTTTCTTTTGGCTATGATCAAATGCTAAATATTTAAGCATGTGCAGCTGAACTGGGACAAAACAAATTTGTCAAGTAGAGGGGGTTTGGGGGTGGAAGGAGCGTTCGGGACTTTTCTAGTGCATTGTGAGGTCGAAGACTGACGTTTTTAGTTGTAAGGAGTGTTCAGGAGGTCACCAGTCTCACCGGGGAGATTCCCATTGCGAACAAGCCCCAACCAATGTTTTTCTTTGGAAAGAAGAATGCAATTCCTTGTAAAAAGGATCCATCGTTAGCTTAGAATTTGGTGTATGAACATGTATTGTGGCATTTATTGGGCCAAATAAATAAGGCAGTACTCATACTGAATCTAACAAAATGCTAGCCCAGGTTCAGAGCCATTATGTTTTAAAAAAAAGATTAAAACAGAAATATTATCAGATGGTGATTAATACCACTTTGATTTATGGCTTTTTGGATTGTGATGACTTAGTGAAAACATTATTTATTTTGTTTCATGATATTTATATTATTATTGGCTTTTCATTGTCATATCTAATTAATTTGTATAAGTAATGATTACAGTGTTAATGTACACTGTGCTTGGTTTGCCGTTGTGATTTCTGAAGGTTTCTTTTCAACTGAGTAGAGTCATGTAGAAGTCACTTTTCAAATTATCTTTATATAATTTTTCAATTTCACATTTAAAAATATTTGTAGGTGAGTCTATGTCAATTCTGGTTTGTTTCCTGGATTTTTAAAAATCTTGGTTTAGCGATCCATTCAAAATCCCATTGCCGTATCTGTAGTTCTGGGCATGATTGATAAAGAATCAAAGGACACTGTCAGTCTACCTGTTATGAGGTCAAACTGGAAATGCTTCAGATTTATCAAAGTAAACAAAATCCCTTGAAATATGAAAGCCAGGGTGGTCATGGCCAGGGTGTGGAGGGGAAGTTATGGGCTATCCCTGACGATGGTGGTATTTGTGTATTAAGAACCAACAATACTGGTCTTGCGTGCCCTTTCTAAACTATGCAAGGTGGCTGGATTAAAAAGAATTGCATTGCCTCTTTCAAGAGAGAGCTTGTAGGGTCTTCAGCTTACTTTAGCAAAGTTGATAGTACAAATTATTTATTGTCCATGCCATGTTTTCATTTCTACCAAGACCTATTCCAGAGGTCGTAAAAATTCCTTCAAATTTCAAAGTATCCTAGTGATTTATAATCAGTGCATCAGTGTAATTTATTTCCGTTCTACACCGAGGTTTTCTACTAGTGTACATATCTCAGGTAGGACTGCCCTGCTTTCTCTTTTATCTGCTACAGTCACTGTGCTAGAACAAAGCCTTGCGTGGATGTAGTTTTACAGGCACAAAGATGCCTTATATCGATATGGCCTGAGTTCTGAGAGAATTAGCTGCTTTGATATAAAAATATTTACACTAGTGTAAGGGGAGTTGTGTTAAAGGGGATTATACTGCTCTATGTATATTTCAAAGTGCCACAACCTCTGGAAGTGGACATAACCTTAATTTTTTCAACTTGTTTCCATCTTTTTGAAAGTTTGCTACTCTGTGGAACAAGTTGCCTTTAAAGAACACTCATAATTGTGATTCGCTTCCTTGACATTATTATTATTATTGAGATTTCTGGTTTGATGGTTGGGTTTTTTTCTTTGTTTGTTTTTTGAGAATGAGACATTATTTAGTATTTGGGTTTTAATGTAGGCAGGTATCTAGTATAGAATTGTTCAAAACTTGAATTCTTCTTTTCCAGTTCTTTCGTCTGTCTTCTGTTGTTTATCTTAGGAAGAAAATGGGAACTGCTTATCCCGAAGCTTTTTGAGCTGTCATTTTCCTGGTATATTTGATATTTTCTAGATTAAACTAAGCGATACCTGCAACCACTGGGGCCTGCGGGGAATAATTGCCTGTGCGATAAATTGTGAGCTTTGATATTTCTGGTCCTCAGTCAGTCTTGTCAGCCTTTTTAGGAAACCATAGTGAGAAAGTAGATTTATTGCGTCTTAAAACAGCTCAGTTTTTATGTGTGACC